GAACTCATTGGAAAAACTTAAAAATTAAAAATACTCTACGTTTGATCTACAAGTATAATGGAATTTAAATATCTAAATTATCTAAAACAATAATACACATACAATTTTCATCAAGCAACAGCAACATAGAAATTGACATGAAATTGAAATGGTTGTCCGAAATATGAGTTGTGTTAAAGTTACTCTATAAATAAAATGTTTAGTAATAATAATAATGATAAACTAAACGAAATCAATTTAACGTGAATGCTTTTCACTTCGATATTTTATGGACTTTAATTACAAAAATCATAGTAAGAAATACAAACATTTCAGTAAAAATTTATTGTCGATAAACATCAGTCATCGTAAATGAACATCATTATATTTGAGTCTAGAAATTTCTATGGAGACAAAAAGAAAACATTGAATAATAATAGAAATAGTAACTAAAAATGCAAATAGTCCGTGGAATGTTGTCTCGTATATATACATTATATATCTATATAATGGTGTTACACTGTTGTATAAATTTTTTATTTTCACTCTAATTTTTACAAGGTGTATCGCTACAACTTTGCATTTTCACGTTTTACGAGAGATCTTGTGTGTACAACGATCGCCATGTCACTGTGACGATGTTTGCAAGCGTGTCACCTGGCGCGAGGCGTGGTTCATGTCCACCACCATACCCATATATATACATAACCACGTCCCCATACCAAATCTCCCCTTTTTTCTATATCTATGGATATCACCCTATTACTTATCAATACATAAAAATTATTGAATATTATCTATATCTATAATTATAAATCTTTAACAATAAATAATATCTATAATTAATTGTTAAAGATTTATAAGTATTGCACTCTCAAATATTTAAGTGACACTTATTCGTAGATGTTTTGAGTTTTCTATTATTAAACACTATACATAGTGTATTTGCATTTAGATAAACAATTTAATCATAAAAGAATATGGAAAACATAGTCAGGATATAAATTCTACTTTACAGCAAATCATATAATTTATCTAAAATATTAATTCCAATATTGCATACACAGAACTGCTTTACGCCGTTATAATATGTATGACGATTTTCGTAGAACTCGCTTAACGTATTGAAAACATGCACACCTCAACACTTAGCACTCGATCCGGCAAACTTAGCGTGTTAGCAGGATGCGGCCCGCGTCGTCGCCCGGCTCCCCCGCCCTTACCTTTTGCATGTACATAGATTCATTGCGCAACTGTATGGTTTGTAAAACTGTGTAATCATCACTGAGCAGAAATAAGTCTTATACCTGTATGCGTATCCGCATATTTAATATGTATACTCTGTATTGTGATACCTAAGTATGTGATCAATCACATACATAGGTAAGCTCTCGCAAGTGACTGAGGGAGGAAACGATTAGACGCCCGGGTCGAGGTATTCCTCCTCTAACCGTCGAAATACACCATATCGAGCGACACTAACGTTACTATATGGCGCTTCAGCTTTTTACCTTTTCCCCGATTATATATAAAGTGTATTCTAGTTAATGCATGTTGCAATACTATTTAAAGTAATACTAATAAAGTAAAGTAATAGAGTTCAGTATTGAATTATGTGACTGATATGTAAACTTCTTAAAAACACAATAAAAGTCTTGACCTTTTCTGGTGTCATCAAATTGAAGTTCAAGTCTTCATCATATAAATTCTCCAATTTATTCCATTTCCACAAATAGGTACATTCCATGACTTGAACATAGATCACCGCAGAGTCTGGTACTACAATGCAGTCTTTCTCTAATAGGTGCTCGTGGGCATGCGTAAACGTTTGCAGAGCACCTGTTATGACACAAAATTTAAAAATTTTAGTAGTGAAAATTTTTCACTTTAGATTAAAACCCATGAAGAAGGCACAGTAAAATGGCAATAGATGCATTTGAGATTATATTTAAATGCTAACAATGTAGATCTAAGCCATAGTCTAGTAAGATAAGCATGGTAACCCTATACAAACATAGCAGCGCGGCTTGTATGTGTGCACGCCCGCCACGCGAAGTGTACGGTCAGACACACACATTCGCATAACCTCGCCGGACACTCGCGTTGCATAGCGCGGGTTGTCCCATGCCCCATTCATTATACAATTGAATCAATCATTCGGTGTTTAAAAAATTGCATCAGTTGTAAACGTGTATTGCTGTTGTGTTTAAATGAGAGTACCTCGAATTCAGCATTTCATTTCTATTTCATAATCATATTTCCATAATAGAGCTACCAATCCATGACCCTGGTATAAAAATATCTACAAAAGTATGTACTGCATTTAACAAAGGTTATTTCAATATAGAAAGAAAATATTGTGATAAACACCTTAATTTTTTTAAATTATCTTTACAACCGACAGTACAACGAAATTATTAATGTGACAACCCGACGCTCCAAGTGAAGAGTAGACATTTTTGTGCCAAACAGAAGGGAGTTGCCCTACTTATCTTATTACACATGTCCAAACTCTCATTTCTTCCACTAAGAATATTGTTTGTGGTCAACTGTTTATACTAGTAGGTACTGGAATTCATTTGTGACAGCAGCTCGTGCTTCAACATATATTCTGTTTGAAATATTAGACAAAGATAAAAGTTACCTTCTCCAATCAACTCAGTATCGAAAACCTCCGTAACCAAGATATTAGCTTTTTGCTTCATATCCCCATCTTCACCAACGGTCATGTCTGTAGAGCGTTTAGGTATGACTGTAATCTTATCCTGCACTCTGTTTGCCTTCAAGATTTTGATGCAGCAATCTGCCATAGGTTTGAAAGCCTCACATGCCACTACTGAGTCTGCACCGCATCGTGCAGCCAGGATTGCTAGAAGGCCAGTTCCAGTGCCTAGCAAACAAAATTGTTTTAAGCTGCTGTGACATGGTATCATAGAGGGGGCTGGTTTGCACAGCTACACATTCTAACACTTTTAGTTACAGTGAAAGATTTAAGAAGAAAGTTTAAATGAAACAAGTACATATAAATCTTATATTTCTCTCTATTCCATGTGTGGCCTGAACTTTAGCTGCGGCCGACCTAACCTAAGCAGCATATAAATTTGTTAAAAAACATCTGTCATATATTGCAATCATAAACAACAGGAACCACAGAAATTTGAGACATGGGAATAGAATGGTTCACTCCGACAACTCACAGCTAACATTTTACCACATTAGCTTTATGTAATGTCAAAATATACAACAACATTTCTAATAAATTAAAAAACATTATGTTATTAATAGAAAATGGTTGAGCACTAAAATTTTGTATGGTATACAAGAGATTCTTGAAGATAATGATAAATTTGGTAATGAACAATATGATGTTTTTTTTTTTTTTTTGTTTGGTGTCATGTTATTTGGATAATATTCTATTTTAACTGGTAGATTATGGAGTTTCAGATAATATTTTAAGACCTCAGCCTATATTTATGCAATAAATATATTTAGGAGGTAGACCATATTTTTATTTATTTTTGGAGATAGTCAGCTAGAAGTTTTGTGTCAGACAGGATGGCTGGCCCAAACGAGATATACAAATCAAACTGGATGCGTTATTTACTACCTATTTGCTACCTGATGAATTGAATTATTAAGGCATGATAGTCTAGTTGTTTTGAATATTTAAAAATAACCTAGAGATATCTGCATTGTGTGACCACATATGGATGCCAGCCATGGTCACTTACTAAAAAAATTACAAAGAACTCAATGTTTATCAGAATAGTATGGAAAAAGTGTGCTCAACATAAATTGAAAGATAAACTAAAACTAACTACAACTAAAAGCAAATCAAAGACTAAAAAGTCACAGATATGATGAGGGAAGAAATTGTTAAGTGGACAAAAGATATTGTAGAATGGTAACCAAGAGAGGGAAAAGGGAAGAAAGGCAGACCATACTTTACATGGGAAGACAATTTTAAATATGTTGCTGGAGGAGCATAGAGGCAAATAGTAAAAGATAGGGAGAAATGGAAATCTCTGGAAGAGGCCTATGTTTTAAGACAAGCTGAAGGTGCCAAGTCAACAAAAATATAGGAATTTGCGCAATAATAAGTAATAAGCATGTCATACAATGTTTCTGTATAAGACAAGTTAGCTTATGTATCAATTATCTTATTATTCTTGTTAATCAGTTATAAAAGCTATATAAAAATAAATTAATAAAATTAAAAATACCCACAATATTCGCAACTGGAAAAAAAAAATTTTGTGCAATGTTCTCTTCTCTAACATCAATACTTTAACAAGTAATTTATAAAGTCATATTAAAATAGTAACATTAAACTAGCATTACCATGAAATGGGGTAGACAGTCCAATTGTACAAATTGAAAAAATGAATGTATATAACCATTACCATTCTAATTTTAGAACTTTATAACAACAAACCTCCATCCCTCTCATTTCGACTTCAGCTACCTATGATTGTCATAATTGTAAATTGACTGTAGGGTTAACTGCGATTATAAAGTCAGCAAACAACAAACATATTTACCAATGTCAAGTACATTAGCCTGCTTCCCTGCATCATGCATCTTCTGTATGGCCTTTTGCAAGGCACGGTGATACTTTCTATTCCGCTCAGAATCATGCAGCATGTCTGCGAACGAAGACCGCGCGATCTCCTGATGATAGTCGTAATCTTCATGCTGGATGTCCCACTCGGTCTTCCCTGTTATAGGATTCTTTTTCTGCGTAAACACACTCATCTTCTCAAAACTTGAATTTGTTTTCCACCTGAAAAACAACATAAGAACTACAATTTCCAAAACAATGGCTTAACATAGCAACTTAAAAATATGTATAGATCACCTTTTATTTAAAGTAAGCAATAGACTGGTACGAAAGTGGCATAAATGCCTGGTTTTCATTTAATCACTGACATGTGTGATATAGTGAATCAGAAATTAGAAAGATATAGTTGTGAATTCTTTGGAAAACCGCAAGTAACCTAAAAAATAGAAAAATCTCAAACAAATGTCAAATTGCAAAATTGATTTTCTTTCGTCTAGAAACACAAAGCTACTGTTTAGAAATGTGTTGAATAAATAAAAAAAGACGTGTTTTTAAAGTAGTGGACATTTTTCCGGGAAAATTCCCGTAAAATTGGAAAAATATAATTTCGTAGGCTCATATTATGTTCTACGCTTAATAAAATGAAATATCTTCTGAAGTTTTATTTAGCGTGAATAAAAAATAAAATAAACTTGCATAGTTAAAAGCCACATTAAAGCAAAACAACATTTAAAATGATTTCACAACAGGGAAAACTCTTCAACAACCACACCACCACCACCACCCTAAGGCGATTATTACACTGCACCGCGCCCCGCAACAACGAAGCGCGGAGAGTTGTACTGAAGTACTTCAGTTTGTATAGGAAACAAGCGCCGTCGAACACACTGACAACGCTTCTCCGCGCGCGGGAGAGCGGCGCGCGCGGTTATACCGCGCGGAGGGGCGCGGCGAACCGCAGGGTATGGCGCGCTGCGCTCCGCACTACCGCGCAGATTTTTAAGCTTAAGAACATGTTCAGTTTTCTACAATAGATCACGACGTCGACAAAATCGACCAAATTTAGATAAATTTTATTAAACATATTTTGTTGTGTTAATCGCCCATGGAATTAATAAGTACTTCGTACATTATTAATTCCATGTAATCGCCTTAATTGGCTCCATCATTTTCGTTCAAAAATTTCAACTTTTGACAGCTGTCAACATCAAACGTAGGAAAAATCAGTAATAAATAAAGGAAAAATAGAGGAATTTGAAAAATATTGGAAAAATATCCGAAAATATGGTTATTTTTTTTAATATATGGTTTTTTCAAAATGGATATTTTTCCATGACCCGACACTACACAAAACTGTATTTTATCTAATAGGTTTGAACTTCTAATTCTAATCATTTTCATACTACTTAGAAATGCAATTTCTACTACAAAATTAGAATGTAACTCCTACAGTCCAGTCCTCACTGAAGCTATCTAGAGGATGGAAAAAAATATAGTTTATGGAAGTTAAAGATTTTCTAACATTCTTTGAAGTAATATAGAAGATTAAACAATCTTAGCCGTATTTGTTTTGCTTTGTTCTATTTTTTTATCAGCCAGTTCGTATTTTTTGATAGAATGCAAATTGACTTATTGTTTGTCATCTAGGTAATCAAAGGATATACGACGAAAACGTATTTTTTTCTTCAAGTTTAAGATAAGTTTCACAAAATTAGACGAGAGGATATTTTCAGAGATAATTTTTAATAATGGCAAATGCTTCGTAGATGTCAGTCAAATCGTTTCCCACTTCGACGTTTTACAATCATGGCCGCCGCTATAGGCAGGATTTGTGGGGCACGACTTTTGAAAAGTTATGGGATTGCCGGCCCCCAGGTACTGGATATTGCTATATATCGTACACCCAGTAGTTACGCTCATTTATATAAGTTTCGTAAGTGCCTGTTAAGTTATCGGCAACAAGTCAAGTCTTCGGAAGCAACTAATGTATTTTGCTGTATTATCGGTTTTAAGGGGTTTCGTGCCGCGTTTTACGTTATAGTGTAGGTGTGCAGGGTCTGGGATGTGTGGAATGTGTGCCAGTGTTCTTCAAAAACTTTTTGAATAAGTGATAACCTATCCCACATTATGTAACAAGTACATAGAAAATCTAATGGAGACCTTCCTTTGCAGGTTTGTCAACTGTCTACTACCACTCAGGGCTGGACAAAAAACAGAAAATTGGTGAGTTGGACGCGTTTTTTTATTTGCTGTATTACATCACACATGATCTTTATATTTTAAGCTAAGGAATTTCCTTATAGAACTTGTGTAATGTGTGTATGTACGAATGACAGCACTAGCATAATTATATAGGTCTGATAGCACAGCACTAGGCCACCTACTCATATATGTTAGTGAGTATCAAAGATGTACTCTTCTCTCTCGATGTACTCTTACCATGCAAATTTACACAGAAGTCTCATGATCATTTCGGATAGTTCTTTCCTTCATGAACATGATGCACAATGAGCTCATTATGATACCTGAATAAAATAGATATTGTTTAAGTGGACCACAGGAAAGGAGAAATATGTGCTCTCAATGGCTACTCTTAACAGCCCTTATTTTCAGAGTGATAAGACCATAGCAACTCTACTTTTTTTGGTCACACTAACCCATGCAGTCAGTATAGGTAATAAATTAAGAATGGCTACTAAAATTAATAAATAATCAATTTATGTTATTATTTATAAACAGCAATATTACATTATTATCATTGATCAAAATATACGGTTCCATATAAAATCAAACGCAAAAACACCCACAACATTGATTAACAAAAAATATTAAAAAATATATTTAAAATGCCTTATATTAAACAGAAAATTTAAAATTAATGTTACGTTGATATGCTTACTTACTTTTAATGTAGTTTTTACAAACTTTAACTGCACACTTCGACATTGTGATTCCACAGTCACTAAGCTAATTAAAGCCAAGCAAACACTATCTGTGATTTTCACCTTGCTTTGACAGTACCACTTTTGAGCGTTCACAGTGCATCTACCAATATTTATTATTGAAGCATATTGTCATTTATTTGAATACCATGATGTTTCTAGTACTATGAACACTGTACGAGTTTATTATTATTGGACACTTATATGAGTACAGTCAGATAGAAGGAATTTTTCTGTCTGTTGTTTGCCCTTTAGTGAACAACACAAATTGAAACTTGACAGTTTTAACTTTTGAATGTAATTTAAGTCATATTATTTATTAGTTTTGAATGTAATGTAAGTTATATTATTTATTTTGGCTACACAATAAGAATTGTGTAGGCAACAATGTTTTATTTATTATTCATAAATTAAGTGCCAATTATTTATTAAAAGCTTTAAAAAATCTTGTTACAATACACAGTTTTTAACCATACACAATGAGCATTTACTATTTTTTATTACAGTTATAATATTTAAACATGTAACTCTATTAATATATCTTGTCAGCATTGTATTTTTTTTATTCTATTGTTGTATTAATGATAATGATTTTTAAATGTAAAGTTTTAAAATATACTACATTAATATGTTTTATACCCCCAATGGCAAATCAAAACACTTATCCATTTGCATTATTTATAATATACTATAGGGAAAATTTACATTTGACCAATTTGAGATTTTAATACATTTTGTAATATTTTAAAAACATTAACATAATTAATTTATTCTGATTTTGTCCATAGGTATAAAAACAAAGTGTTAAAATCAAAATTAAGTTTTTATTCAACCATGGTTCTTTATTATTTCACTTAAATAATAATAATAAATAATGCACACACTCATAGTTGACACAAACATACCAACTACAAATTACACCCAAATTCACGAGAAAAACAACTGTAGGCCATACAATATTTCTCCCGGCCTGGGAATCGAACTTGGGTCCTCTGTGTGGCAGACCAGCATAGGTCATGGAGGCAATAAAGACAATTTGTTACCTAATCTTCTTCTTTTCTCAGCTATGGACTACCATCGGTATGGTGAGTGGTGGAGTTGGAGCACTCATCTATGCGCTGGAACGATCAGTGAAGGCGAGTGGTTTAGAAGCACATAAGTATGAGCAACCGTGGAGTCATAAAGGCTGGTTTGATGCTCTTGACCATGCCAGGTAAGGATTTATATAAATAAAAGTCATCTTTCTCATAGGGCCTAAAGAAAGGAGAAATTGGAAACATGAAGGCCGCCTAACGCAGGGCGGGCGAGCCTAACACGCCAAGTAGATCATAACATAACAACTGCTCATGGTCCATAGACTGATCGCACATTGCAAAAGGCATTCTAAAAAAATTTAAAAAATATATTAAATTGACAAGTAGTTTGCTAGGTTTTTCAAAAGAATGACATAAAATACGATGGGCTCAGTTTTTTATATAAATATTGTTTATTTTCATATTTCAGTGTTCGCCGAGGCTATGAGGTGTACAAACAAGTGTGTAAAGCTTGCCACTCACTGCAGTACGTCGCGTTCCGCAACTTGGTAGGCGTTACGCACACCGAGGAGGAGGCAAAGGCGGAAGCAGAGGATGTTAGTAGTCCCTACCTATATAATTTCTACTATGGCGACTTATAACTATTTCTACTTATAATTTCTTATAATAAACATTCTATCAAAAACCTATTATCTAAAAATTACATATACCACCGGGACAATGTTATGCAAATTTGACTCTGTCATTTCTATGCTTGCTTGAAATGCAGTTGTTATAAAGCAATTTTTCCTCTATGTTTAGGTAATGGTCAGGGATGGCCCTAATGATGTGGGCGAATACTTTGAGAGGCCTGGCCAGCTCACGGACTACTTCCCGTCACCATACCCTAATGAAAACGCGGCCAGAGCCGCAAACAACGGTAAAGTAGTTTCCACAATTTACAAGCTTCATTTACCACCTCATTTTTCCAAATTCCAATACCCATAAAATTATCGCTAGAAAATCCATTTTGTTTCGGCGTTTTTGTTATTTAATGTTATCGGTTCACAGGCGCGTACCCGCCGGACTTGTCATACATTGTGTCCGCCAGCGAAGAGCACGAAGACTACGTCTTTGCGGTACTGACAGGCTATGTTGACCCTCCGGCTGGCATCGAGTTGCGGGAGGGACAAAATTACAACCCTTACTTCCCAGGCTGTGCCATTGCGATGCCAAAAATTCTCTTCAACGAGGTCAGTTGTTTTTCTCTTAGTGTTCAACAACAGAATTGATACACCCACATAACAATAAATACAGTAGAAGTGCTCAGTGGGAGTGTCAAATACTTGAGCTCTATCCGCCATTTTCGCTTAGTACGCTATGGTTGTGTTAATTATCTCCCGCTATATACATATACAACATATATAACGATGTTATATATGTTGCATATATAACATCGTTAAGTCTTATTTGATTCATAAATTTCCAATTTTTTATCGTAATGTTTTTTTGGTACAAGAAACGAAAGTAAACCTTTTTACTGCTGCAATGTGGTCACTTCTTTTTTGGAGAACTACGTAAACATCTCGGATTTTCCAGCATTATTGATAGATTGGCAGCTCATTGATTGAAATTTCAATATAAAATCAACACGTAACTTGCAATAATGGATATTGAATTTTCATTGATATGCCAACAATGTAAAGTTTAAATTATATTTACAATCCAAAATTTCTTACTTTTTTTATATTAGAAACTACGGCCAATCATTATCAAGATTTCATAGTGTATAAAATTATGAATGTGTGAGTTTAAATTCTAATAATAATCTAAACTTAAGGCACGAAGCGTTACGCTTCCACATTTATATGGCATACGGCTATGGAATGGAATTCCCTGGCTGCAGACTTGTTCCCTGAATGTTATAACTTGGGCCTTTTCATGGCGAGAGTCAATAGGCATTATTTAGGTGTTTATTTATGTTTGTGTTTATTTAGGTGCATGCTCCATCGTCGACCTCGTCGTCACTTTCCATCAGGTGCGATGGAGGTCAAATGCGCACTTATATTTTATAGAAAAAAGCTTCCATTGTTTTTATTTGTCTTCCTTGGATTTACCCCATAAACATGGAAGGTGAAATCAATGAGTAACAATTGTTATAGGCTGCGGAGTACAGTGACGGGACACCAGCGACGGCGTCGCAAATGGCGAAGGACGTTACAACCTTCTTGAGGTGGACGGCTGAACCCGAACTGGACGAGAGGCGACTCATGCTCATTAGAGTTATCGGGATAATGGGATTCCTCGGTAGCGTTGTCTACTACCTTAAACGACACAAGTGGATTACAATGAAATCTAGAAAGATAGCCTACAAACCCGTCTCTAAAAAATAAACATCCCGCAACTGTAGAGTAAAATGTTTTAGACAATTCTTTTCGATAGGCACAGTATAACACGTTATATCTTTATATTAAATTAATTTATTTTATAAACTCATGTTTGTTTTTGGCATTTTTTTTCTTGATCATATTTAATGATTGCCACTAGTTTATGTTGTTTTGTTACCATTTAAAGCTTGTCAGCTGCCTTGCAGGTTTAACTTATTTAATGTAACGGATATTTAATATTAGAGCATTACATCAAAAAGAGTATTTCATCATCTTAATACAATGTAACGCAGAAACTTAACACGTTCCCTGTTCATCACTTTTAAACTCTAAAGGTTTAATTGGGCATATGAATTAGGATAATTAATAGGTCCAAATCGACAGCGAACGTGGTAACGATAGTTAGTGAATTAAAACTGTGCTTGTGATGTATCATGAACGTAAACAGCTGTGAATCAGTGTACAGTTGAATAAATGAGTTATTCAAAACTATTATTAGTCTTTTAATTTTGTCCTACGAAAGCACCAGTATAAGGCCTTACTGGCAAACTACACCTGCGCTGCGGCCTGTGGTCCACCCAGGTGGATCAGAGAGGTTGTCCACAGGCAAGAAGGGGAAATTTTAATGATAATGGTCTATAAATGGATAAACAAAGTTGCCGCCCGTAAGCTTAAAAGTTGAGCCGGCAGCCTTCGGGATGCTTCGGCAGACTTTTACACTTAACCCTAACCGGAATCGTCATTTTGATACCTACGACTCGTAACATAAA